GTCACCAGCTTCCACTCACGTCCACGCGCTGCGGATGTCGGTGCCAAACCTAAACCGTGGGCAGGACTCCGAAAATCACGATGTGTGTCAAGCCGTCCGATTCGAGCTTATCTATCCGTTGTTCGGTCATCCACGTGAGCGTGCTGCAAATAATCATATCGAGGGCAAAGCTTTGCCGCAGATACGTTTTCGGAAGCACCGGAAACACTCCAACCGTCCGATTTCGTGTTCGCTGGCGGTACAGTCAGACGAGCAGCAATGTGGACCACCCACTGGCCGCCTCGCGTTTGCCTCGGAGCGCCGTAAACGGGTGTGGTGCCGAAGCTCCACCCAGAAGTGCCGAACCAACGCGCGAACGTCGGCTCCTCCATTAACGGGGGAATCCCTCGTCTGGTGTCAGTAGAAATGGTCACTTGACGACCATTTCTATTCAATCACAACTTGTTTGCTTCACACGCTATTTCAGTCACTCGCAGAGACTTTGCCTCGTGCGTCTGAGAACCCTCGCTGCTCGAATGGACTCGGTCAACCCTGAAACGGCTCTTGCCGTTGCTCTTGCTGCTGCCACGGCATTCGGAAACGCAGCGAGGTACCTGTGGGAGGTACCGAGCTGGCTCAACTGCCCTGCACTGAACTCGCTCCCCTTTGACTGCCTCTACGAGTGGACGGCGGCTGATGAAGCTCAGCTGAGAGCAGCACCGGCTGAACTCAGCGTGAGCGAGGAGCTTCTGCTCTTAGCTAAACTCACAGTAAGCTCCGCCGAGTTTACTACGGAGTGGACTGCTGAGGACGAGGCTTATTTGAGAGCACCTGTCACAATTCGTCGTACCACACTAACTGCGAGCGAGGAACTGCTGCTCCTGGCGGGAAACTCGGTGAACTCTGCCGATTTCATTACAAACTGGACGGATGAGGACGAAAAATATCTGAGAAGCGGATCATTGAAACCGTGCGATGGGTGGACCATTGCCAAGTGGGTGGCGCAGTATGATTCGTTTAACACGGCCGATTTCGTCACTGAATGGACGGAAGCGGACGAGACGTATTTGAGAAATCAGGTGATCAGGAGACCTGTGGAATGCAAGGCGATGACCTCCGCGGAGGTGGCTATCAAGATAGGTCGGTTTGTTGTTGAGGAGAACAAGAAGCGCCGGGAAAACCGCTTTGGAGTGAGGCTGGGCTTCTCGCCCTTGAGGCCCGCCTTCGCTACCGCTGTTGCCTCTGCTGTGAGCACGCTGGCTGCTGCTGCAAGTGCTGCTGCTGACGCTCTTGGTGCTGCTGTTGCTGCTGCTGTGCCTGTGGTGGCTGCTGCTGCTGCGGATGCCATTGCTGACGCCGTTTCTGGCGCCGTTTCTGCTGCTTCTGCTGCTATGCCTGGTGTTGCTTCACCTAAAAAAGAACTTTGCAAGCCATCAGCACGATCAACAGCGAAACCAGCTCGGTCAGTGGCGAAACCAGCAGCACCTTCAGCAGCTAAATCATCAGCTGTTGCTGCGTGCAAGCCATCAGCACGATTAGCAGAGAAATCAGCACCATCAGCAGCTAAATCAGCGCCATCAGCAGCACCATCAGCAGCTTGGTCCGTGGCGAAGGCAGCAGCCCCTTCAGCAGCTAAAGTAACGGCTGTGGTAAAGCCTATTGCGTGCAAGCCATCAGCACGCGCAGCAGCTTTGCTAGCAGGACGACCAGCGGTGAAAGCGGCAGCGAAATCAGCCACACAGCAGGCAGTGAAGCCGCCTGTGAAGGCAGCAGCCTGTGGTGCAGCAGGGAGAGGGACCAGGAAGGGAGTGGCAAGCAAGGTTGTTGCTGCAGAGAAAAGATTGGGATGCAAAGGTAAGGTGGCGGAAGTGACAGTCAAACAGTCAACAAGCAAGCTCACAGTACCGAACGCAAACCGCACTGCTCCTGCTGCCTCTGGTGGGGCTGCTGCTGCCACGAGCAAATTGAGAAAAGGCTTGGTTTCGGCTGTGAGGGGGGAGGGGAAGAAGGGAGTGCAGGCAGCAGCAGGGAGCAACAGTGAGCTGCGAGGCCAGACTGCAACAGCAGCCTCGCAGAAACAGCAGTTCCAGCAACCCAGGTGGAGGTGACAAATATGACTTGCTACTGACTAGCTCATTAGAAAGTGTTACCTTGTATGATATAGTTAATTTGTAGGATTAAATGTGTTGCTGGTGGTAGGCCCATGTAAATATGATTGTAAGGAAACAAAGTATCATTGACACATAGTATCATTGACTTGAAATTGTCACAAAGTGAAGGCACATAGTGTAAGTTGATGAATCAAGGAGCTTCGACTTGCTTTACGGGCTCTTGATGCTGCAGCTTGTGTCGATTATTGGGTTGAGTCGGTTCTGTTCTAGTACGGCCATTTGTGTCTAGTCCATATCCATGTAATGTAATCTCTCCATGTTGCATGCATGCATGGTGAAGCGGGTCATGCTCTTATGACAAGTCAAATCTAACCATGTGGATATGGTAGTAGTCATGAATCTTCTTCACTTGACATTGTGTTTCATCACCAATAAGACATTTCCTTGTACGTTCCCAGTGAGATGTATGTTGTTCTGTGATCGCAATTGCAGGATCACATCAGAACCATTACCCCGTGGCCTGTTTCCTGTACCTCACCACGCACCCTCTCCCTATTTTCTCTCTACCCTCTCCTTCCCATGCCTCCTCACCACTCAACCTCCCTGCCCCACACCCTCCCTCAGTGAGGCAATGCAAGGTCCACCTTTCGTTGAATGCGACCTGTAGTGAACTCTCTGACTGCTCCTGACACTTCGTCGCGTTCCACTTCCATCAAAATGCTGTGCCAATATGAGGTAAGCCTTGGTGACCTTTGAGTTGACCAAAAGTCACCTCACAACTAAGCCATCCAGCCATATCCATGTAAATTAGGCGGATTGCGATTTCTTCATGTGTATATATCACAAAATTTAGACACAAGTTGCAAGACCAAGGAGCTTGATCTGTTCTATGGGGTAGTTGAGGGGTTAGTACGTCTAACATTGTATGTTAGAACGGCATTTGTGGTGTTCTGCATGACTAAGTGTCAGAATGTTTGTTTGTATGCATGGTTATTTATGCTGCAGAAGGCACTTAAGAAGTGTTCTGCATGAGTATTTGGCACACTGTTTGTATGCATGGTTATTCATAATGCACAAGGCAGTGAAGGGGTGTGCTGCATTAGTATTTAGCACACTGTTTGAATGCATGGTTATTCATATTGCACAAGGCAGTGAAGGGGTGTTCTGCATGAGTATTTGTCACATTGTTTGTATGCGTGGTTTGTTTATGTTGCATAAGACACTTTAAGGGTGTTCTGCATGAGTACGTCTCACATTGTACATATGCATGGTTTTTCATGCTGCAGTAGGCATGAATATACATGAATGTGCTGCTAGGCATGAATATGCTGCTTGGGATGAATGTGCTGCTTGGGATGAATGTGCTGCTTGGGATGAATGTGCTGCTTGGGATGAATGTGCTGCTTGGGATGAATGTGCTGCTTGGGATGAATGTGCTGCTTGGGATGAATGTGCTGCTTGGGATGAATGTGCTGCTTGGGATGAATGTGCTGCTTGGGATGAATGTGCTGCTTGGGATGAATGTGCTGCTTGGGATGAATGTGCTGCTTAGGATGACAAACTTCTTTACAGAAATGTATTAGTTCCCCTTTGAAGTTCCAGGAAAGAGTTCCGCTTCTTGAAAGAAGACTTGTTCTGAATGTCACATTGCTGTGACTCTGCAACTCCACCTTCCCTCGCTGCTGATCCCACCCCCATTGGCAGATTTGAAACCGTTGGGTTGGGGTGAGTATTATCGCATGTTGCTATTTGTGTCAGGCCCAGATCCGTGCAATGTGATCCCTCTCTCATGCATTCTCTTATGCTACTTCGAATCCATGCCATGGGTGGGAAGAGCCACCAACGTCTAACACGAAGTCTTAACTGTGTGCTGCTTGGCATGAACCCCCTACACACTATCGTTTGTCGCCAAGAAAGCGTTTCTGATAGTGAAATATACAGTGTAAAGGCCCACTTTTCGGTCCTCCTGCTTCCGTGCAAAGTGTATGTGCTGCATTGTGAAAGCATGCTTGTCATGTCACTCTGTTGCTCATGCGCTTCTCCTTGGGCACCGTGGGCTTCCATTCCAAGCATCACCAGCAAGCACTGGGACAGTATGGGATTGCATCTCGGAAATTTACATCAGAACCATCACCCCCCATGCCCCGTTTTCCTTACCTCACCACTCAACCTCTCCCTACCCCCTCCCCCTCCCCCTCTCGCGTCCCTTCCCCCCGGTGAACCCTCTGATTTCTTTTAACACTTAGCAGCATGGCTACCAGATCAGGTGGGCATCGGTGACTTTTGAGTCTACAAAGCAAAAGTCACCCCGCTATCAGTCGAGCCATGTGGCTGCTCCTGACGTGAGGTTGAGACTTGAACATGGGGGGCGGGTGGGTGCGTTTTGAGCTGGGACTGATTCTTGTGCCCATTCGTGATTCCCTTCAGGCCTGATTTGTACAACTCCGAACCAGTTTCCGTGACCCAGGTGGGAGCTGTTCAAATGAATATCCAATCAGTATTCAGGTCACTAAAAAGGTCCGGATTCAGGTCAGGATTCCTTCAAGTCGGCAGTCAAGTCAGATATTCAAGCCAAGTATTCAGGTCTGTATTCTGGTCAGTAATCACTCAGGTCAGCATTCAGTCAGAATGATCCTTTCAGCCACAGTGGAATGGGTTTTGTGATTTTGAGGTTTGTGTTGTGCCATGCCAAGCCAAATTCGTGTCATGCCAAGTGAACTCTATGTCCGAATGAAGACCCATCAAGAACTTTATTAACCATGTGCTGCCTGGTATGCAATGCAATCCCCAAGTAGATGTGCCACGCCACGCTGCGGAAGCATGCATGTCACCTCTGTATGCTCGATTGCGTGTGTGTCTGTACGCATGTCACTTCCGTTCCACGCTTCACCAGTAAGCACTCTAGCCACAATGGCAGCTCGTTGCTTCATTACGTCATGCTACAGCATGTTGAAGCCATTAGTCCATGCTCCATTACCTATACATCACCACTACCCTCTGCGGCCCCTCCCCTTCCTCCTCCACTTCCCCTCCCCTTCTTTTGCCCCTTGGTTTCCCCCGTCCTCTCCCTCCCACTCTCCCTTTCTCAGCGAGAAAAAGCAGTAAGCCTTTACAAAGATGGAGGGGTGTGTGGGGATTAGCCTTTTGTTGATATCACAACAATCGTGAACTCTCGTACTGCCTCTGCCAAAAGCGCTATCCTGTTCAGATTAAGTGCTGGTTTGCAAGCAGGTGAGCTCGACGTAAAGGTCACTTTGTAATCAGGCACATCGTTTTGAAACGTCTCAAAACAAATCGCTTAACATAATCATGTCTAACCATGCCATGGCTTACCTGGTTGGTCCGGTTGCTTGCTGTGAGCAATACTTGATATGTTTTTTTATCTGTGGCTTTATCCGTTCCTCTCCTGTCTCCCCCTTCCTCTCTCCTTCCTGCATTTCCTCTCGCAAGCCCCCATTTATCCTTCCACTTCCTGCCCAATTGTGCGTCTCCCTTTCTGCCTCGCCGATAGGCATGCCCTTTCTCCTACATCTACGTTCTTTCTCATCTCCCTACTTCTCTCCCCTGTGTTCTCTCCCCATGCCCCAACTGCTGACTTGGGCGTTGAATTGAAGCGTTTGTGCTTGGAGGCAGAGGGATGGGGCAGTGAGGAAACTGATTGCGGCACAGGAGCTGCTCGCAGCACTCATAACAGCAGGGTTTGGAGGAGCATTGGTTGTGGACCTATCCGATTGGTTTGCGTAGTCTGCAATCAGCCATGCACATGTCAACATGTGTATGGCAGGGCTGATTTTATCAGGGTAATTACCCTGATTTCAGGGTGATTTCAGACTTGTCACTTTCTGGACCCTGAGAAATCAGGTTTTTCACATTTTGGTCCCTGATCCATTCAGAGTATTGCTTTAGCGGACCCTGAAATTTTGTGTACACTCTCAGTGTAGGGTTTTCACGGACCCTGTCAATAGAGAGTACGAGGCCTGTGGACCCTGAATGCGATGTTATCGGGGCAAAGTTTCTCGGAAATTTCCTCCTGATAACCCCTTCGCATTAATTTCAGTGCCCCCCACGTGCGTAACCCCGAACGGCACAATTGTTTCCGCAAATCACGTTTCGGTGCCTTCCATTCCACCCACCATACAGCTGTCCCGCGTTTCGTGGGCTGAGTCAGCTACCTGGATTTCTGTTTACCCCTTTGACCCTCGGTGGACGACTCGGCGGGACCGGCCAAACCCAACTAGCCGTTGAACTGGGCACGTCTCATCCGCTCCTGTTCCTTCCATTCTCCTCACGCCGACTCTCCTCGCTTCTCCTCTCTTCTCTTATCCTACCTCCTATCTCGCACTTCGGTTCGCCTCTTACGTAATAAGACGCAGTCTGAATCACACGCCACTGCGTTGCTGTCATCCTCGCCGAGTCAACCTGGTGGGAAATGCCAGCTAAGAATCGGTGGTGCTCGCCGTACGCCGTCTTGACTCTGACGGCTAGCAATACAGGTTCCGCACGGAAGGTCCGCTCCGATTTCTCTCTGAATATCTCAAGACAACGCAGCATTAGCGAGTACAGCGCAGCACATGATAGTGCTAAGATTCCGTACAGCAAGGCGTAGGATGAGTCATCCGAGTCTACTAGGCGAGCTAAGGCTGGATAGTAACATCCTATCCATCGTGCTCCGAGCCGCTTATTTTCCGATGGCAGCCAGGCGTAGGAGTAGTAGTAATGCGGGTATAAGAGCCAAACCAAAGTCAGATACAACCATCGCAAGCTATTCGCTCTACTACTTGTCCCGCTATCTCCGGTTTTCCGCTGCAAAGCTAGGCTCTAGCAGTCCTGAACGATATTTCCGGTTCCCCTAATTCCTCCCTGTCCTCATCGACCCGTGCCGCTCTCAACAATGGCTCCTGCTAAGCTTCTCTTCGCCGTCGTCGTCGCGCTTCAGGCCTCCGCGATCCTCGCGCAGACGTGCTCATGCGCCGACTGCGAGACGGTGGCCCCTCCATGCTACGCCAGCAGGTGAGCCTCCCGATCTGGGTAAGAAATTATTCGCCAAACTTGTGCGTGACAGACGGAATTACGCAATCCAAGTGCGTGACTCTGTTCCTGGTACGTAATGTGCTAATTCTGTTTTCCTGCAGGTGTGTTAAGCATAGTGGATCAAGATCGACTGCAGCTTACTGACCCCTCAATGCGTCCAGTGTCTCATGCTCCCCTTTCCGCATTCCCCCCCCCTCCCCCTTCCCCTCCCCTCCCCTCCCCTCCCTTACCGAAAATTAAATACTCGCATTCACCAAGTTTTTGCTGGTTTGGCCGGGAGGCTGCGATTCTGCGTATACTTTCTGTGCGTGATGCTGCAAGCCCTACTGCTGCGCATGTGTGTGGTTTGCGTGTTGGATCAAGGTTGGCTGCAGCTTCCCGACCCATCAACGCGTGCATTCACTCATGTTCCCCCATCAAACTTACCCGTGCCCTCCTCTCCCTCCCGTTCCCTTCACCCCTCCCCGTCCCCCTCGTCTGCTACCTCTGCAGGTGGTACGCGTGGTGGATCAAGGACGACTGCAGCTCGCAGGCGCTGTGGAACAGCGTGCAGGCGTCCAGCGACGTGCGCAGCAGCGTGCTGGCCGTGTGGGGCCCCGGCACGGCCGGCGCCAGCACCTCCTTCCAGGACTACGTGCTTATGGCGGCCAACAACCGCCGCAACCCCTCCTGCGTTAAGACGTACCTGCTGGACTGGATCAAGTGCAAGGCTGCGCCCACCGACTCGGCCGTTCAGTTTTACAACTCGGCGCTGGGCGTGGGGGTGAGCGGGGTGAAGGATGTGCGGTCGCTCAACACGTTTGTGACGGCCGTGATCAAGAAGATTGGCCAGACCGTGTTTAACACGCTCGCTGGCATGCTCAGGCAGCGCGGCCTGCAGGCTCAGGTTGTCATGGCGGGAACGTGGTGCTAGATGAAGCGCATTCAATCATGATAAAACCAGGCGTGAAGTGGTTGGTGTTGAAGGTTATGTGAAGTCGTTGCTGCTCCTGGGTGTTTAGGGGGTGAGGGGCCCGATGAGGTGGCAGTTGTTAGATTTCTATGTTGCTGAAGCAGTGGTTGTCGTACCAGCAGGCTTACATGATGTAGGAAGGGAGTAAATGTACAGGGGTCCATGGAGGAGAATCACCTGATTGTAGCTTGCTGGAAACATGTAAGGACCAACTATTTATTTGCCATCATAAACAACAGCGGGCTTTCCTTCCTGACTACGGTACTGTTCCCAAACGTTCAGACGCTTATTCGGTCCAATGTGTGCACTACCGCCCTTATTCAATCGCGGATTGTGCTGCTAAGTACCGCAGCACCACCGAGGTGCTCCAGCAAAGCGAAAGCTGCAGCCACGCCTCTCGCCCGTTCCCTTTCAGTAGCACATTCCTTCACGTCAACCCCACGACAGCTTCACAATTCATCATCGCATCCCCTATTCGGTCGTCTGCGAAACGCACGAGTCCGTGGACTCCGTGGCTATGTCCCAGTTCTGCTGCACCATAGATGGTGGGATGGGATGAGGAGCAGTGATGGTGGGATGGGATGAGGAGCAGAGGTGGTGGGTTGGGTTGAGGAGCAGAGATGGTGGGATGGGATGAGGAGCAAGGATGGTAGGATATGATGGGTTGAGGAGCAGAGATGGCGGGATTGGATGATGAGCAGAGATGGTGGGATGGGTTGAGGAGCAGAGATGGCGGGATGGGATGGGGAGCAGAGATGTTGGGATTGGTTGAGGAGCAGAGGTGGCGGGATGGGATGGAGAGCAGAGATGGTAAGATGGGATGAGGAGCAGGGATGGTGGGATGTGATGAGGAGTAGAGATGGTGGGATGGGATGAGGAGCAGAGATGGTGGGATGGGATGATGAGCAGAGATGGTGGGATGGGATGATGAGCAGAGATGGTGGGATGGGATGATGAGCAGAGATGGTGGGATGGGATGATGAGCAGAGATGGTGGGATGGGATGCTGAGCAGAGATGGTGGGATGGGCTGAGGAGCAGAGATGGTGGGATGGGGTGAGGAGCAGAGATGGTGGGATGGGATGATGAGCAGAGATGGTGGGATGGGATGAGGAGCAGAGATGGTGGGATGGGATGCTGAGCAGAGATGGTGGGATGGGCTGAGGACCAGAGATGGTGGGATGGGAAGATGAGCAGAGATGGGATGAGGAGCAGAGATGGTGGGATGGGATGCTGAGCAGAGATGGTGGGATGGGCTGAGGACCAGAGATGGTGGGATGGGATGATGAGCAGAGATGGTGGGATGGGATGAGGAGCAGAGATGGTGGGATGGGATGCTGAGCAGAGATGGTGGGATGGGCTGAGGACCAGAGATGGTGGGATGGGATGATGAGCAGAGATGGTGGGATGGGATGATGAGCAGAGATGGTGGGATGGGATGATGAGCAGAGATGGTGGGATGGGATGATGAGCAGAGATGGTGGGATGGGGTGAGGAGCAGAGATGGTGGGATGGGATGATGAGAAGAGATGGTGGGATGGGAAGAGAAGCAGAGATGGTGGGATGGGAAGAGGACCAGAGATGGTGGGATGGGATGATGAGCAGAGATGGTGGGATGGGATGATGAGCAGAGATGGTGGGATGGGATGATGAGCAGAGATGGTGGGATGGGATGATGAGCAGAGATGGTGGGATGGGGTGAGGAGCAGAGATGGTGGGATGGGATGATGAGAAGAGATGGTGGGATGGGAAGAGAAGCAGAGATGGTGGGATGGGAAGAGGAGCAGAGATGGTGGGATGGGATGATGTATATGTTTCCACCCCTGTTGTATATGTCCTCCCCACCAGTCTTCTCACTTCTCTCGCTCCTATCCTCAACCCACATTTTCCATTCACCCACCACACCCCCTGGAAACCTGTTTGCTTGAACAGGAATCAAACATTTATTTGCCATCATAAACAAAAACAAACTTTCATTCTTGACTACTGTTCCCAAACCTTCAGGCGCTTATTGGGCCTTTCGTCATGCACTACCGCCCTTATTCATTGGCGCGGCTTGTGTTTCAAAGCAAAAGCATGGCCTAGGCGCTCCAGCAAAGAGAAAGGTGCAGCTCTACCTCCCGACAGGTCCTTTCCTCCAAAGTGCGCAGTTCTTCTCGTCTCACTTGCAAAAGCTCCACAATCCGTCATCGCGTCTCCTACTCGGTCGTCTGCGATACGCACGAGTCCGTGGCCACGTCCCAGTTCTGCTGCACCATGAACTTCATGCCGTTGAGCCCCACCAGGTTGTACTCCGCATCGTCACCATACACGTTCTGGGCCGTTTGCGTCTCTCCGTACTCGTAGCTGCACTTATCAGCGTTCTCCTCCCCGTTGGCGTCGAACCAGCCGCTGCTGGCATTGGGATCCGTCGCCGCTTCCGCGATCTCGTGAGCGATCGTCGAAACCATCGCGTCCAGCCACGGCTTCCCGTTGGGCGAAGTCTGCTTCGCACCGCAGTTTCCGGGGCACAATCCGTGATGACCCACGAGGGAATATGCAACGGGCTTCGATTTGAGAAGGTCCATCGTGTGATACCCGCAGTACTCTGTGCAGAAGCCAGAGACCTTAATGTTGGTGCTCGTGAGAAGTAGGTAGATGCCATTGGCGTCGTACGGGAACGGCTTTCCGGAGCCAATCTTGCTCTTGACAACTGCGATTTGAAGGGGTTAGGACATTAGTACGATTCTGGGTAGGCAACAAGTGATCGCGGAAGGAGGTAAGTGGTATGACGGTTTGTCGGCAAGCGAACGGGAGATAGGTACTACTAGCGAAAGGAAGTCAACTACGGTGGAACGCAAGCGCACCTTTCCAGGGAGTGTTGGCGTTGAATTTCTTCCCTTGCGACCCTTTGTCGTAGATGACCTTCGCGAGCTTCACCTGAGAAAGGAAGGAAATCGATTTTGGATGTAATTCCATGAAATTCTCGTCTGAAACTCTAATTACACTTGTATCCAGCAGTACCGTAGCGCGTTCAAGGTTCGCCTTTGATTTGCCTTTTCGCCAAAACCGTCATTCGTAATCTGTAACGTAAAAACTGCATCCGAGCTATTGGCGGATGCCACGCCATGCTGGTCGTCCTGGAATTGCCTTTTCACTCATGCCCAAGATTCAACATCTCAATGCAAAAGATGAAACGACGTACCTCCGTGCTGACGGTGGGCGCGGACCCATCAGATGCCTGCGAGTAGTATTTCGAGCTGATCACCCACCAGTTGCTCACTTTCGGATCCGCGGCTTCCCCTTGCGCATCGGCGCCTCCTACACTCAGCGACCGAATGAAATTCTCAATCACAGTCTGCGCGGATTGCTTTGGCCAGAAGCCGTAGTAGATTAAGTACACATTCAGCGTGTTGCCGCTCAGCACGGGACCGCCCCAGTATTGGATGGGAGTGGCGGACGATCCGTCCGACGCGGCGCCTCCCTGTTCGCGGAGCTCCTCCTCGCGGTGCTCCTTGTCGAAGCTGGCTTTCGTTTCGACCAGGTGCAGCGGAGGCCGGGAGCCGCGATCGACGATGTCGGTCAGTTTTCGCTCACGGTCGCTCAGCTGTCGTTGAGAGAGGTACTCGTCGTGCGACTGTCGCGTGCGAGCGACGCGCACCGGGCTGGCAAATGCGGGGGGGAACATCGAAAGACAGACGAGTACCACCGAAAAGGAGAGCAGCAGGGGCTTGAGGATTTCTGCCATGGGATTTAGCAATTAGCAGCGAGACTACGAGGTTTGTCGCTGACAGCTGATAGTAGTTGCTGATTTGGTGCTCTGATTGAGATAGAAAGCTATACTATCTTATGTTGTCAGCATATCCACGTAATCTTATATACTGACCGGTAACGATAACGCGCGCTGCTTTGGCCACGACATGCCCATGATGAGAAGCTTCGCGGGTGCCTCGTCATGGCTTTAGAGCGACGTCGCGGCGAGGCGCGCTAGCAAAATCACAAATGTGATGCTGGTGTGGAATTAGGACTGACGATGTTCTATCTCACCGCCAATAATGGTGGCGGTTGTCGCTGCTAATTTCAACGACGTTCTTGCTGTGCATTGTTGGGAAAGGGTACATTGAAGAATGCATTGGAGTAACGCAAGAGCATACTACGGTTGAAAGCGGTTCTGGTCAACCCCGCTAGTACCGCTTTCTACCGTGTGTACTTGACAATCTCTGCACGCACACAACCTGAAATTCTCGCTCGCGACTCGTTTGCGAAGTTTCATGGCGACTCGTGGAGGCTGAAAATAGTCGCCCCTTGAAACCACATCGACACTACGCATAGTTCTGCAGGCACCAAGTTTATAGATTATAACTCGCGCCTCTAAACGTTGGCTGCTAACCTGAGATTTACCGACTCTACGCCTAGATTAATTTCGAAGACTCAATTGAGAAAACAGAGTCTCCGTAATTCTGTTTGCCCGTTTTTATGTTCAATATGCTCTCATTGTATCCTTGACCTCAATGGGGCAATCATCGTCCATTTTTTCCATTACACAAATAACACTTGTGTATCTCTTTGTATGACGAATGACAGCCTTTAAAGGGGTCATTTATTCCTCCTCCCTCCAACTCCACACCTTCCTCGCACCCCCCTCCACCCCCACTTCCTGCTTCCTTCAAATGCCACGTGCCCAAGGCTCGCGTCGCGTGTTCCATTTCAAGGGGTAGCGCAGTTTCGCTCGCAGCCAACAAAACTCGCCGCAAGCAGCCCCCCGTTCGCACTCCGCCCCACCCCGCCCCATCCCTCCCTTCCCTTCCCGAGCGCACCCTCCCCCCACACCACGCCCACTCAACACGATTCTTGCCCCACCCCACTTCGCGCTGTCTGCGGTTGTTGCGTAGTGTCTCAATTCTTACATTTGCACTAGCCTTCATTCAGACAGAACACACAGTCTTGCTACAAATCACTTACTAGAAACTAATTTTTGCAATCCGTTACGAATCTAGCTCGACAGTCAAGCTTCCCCAATACTAAGGTCGGTTCTGCTGCCTCCCCGCGCCCTTACTACTCCGCAAAAATATTTATCGTCGTTCGTCTATCGTCGTCATGAACAGTCCCGTCCCGTCACGCCCTCCCGCGCTCCGCGCGCCCGATGTCCCACCGCCAACACTGTCCAACTTACCCGTTTCCTCTCTTTCCTCCCTTCCCCCAACCGCATCGCTTTTTCCGCGCACATGCGTCTCTCCTCGCACATCGGTCTCTCCGCGCACATCTGTTTTTCCGCGCGCAGCGCCATCCGCCGTGTTATGGGCAACAGTTCTAGCAGCCACCATCGCAAGCACCACCACCACGACAACCAGCGCCGCCCCGACAGCCGCTACGCCTCCTACTCCGGCCCGCTCCCCCGCCCCGCTCACTCCGCGCCTGCCGGTCCCGCGTATTCCGGACCCGCTTATTCCGGCCCCGCGTATTCCGGTCCCGCCAGCCCCGGCGCCGCGTGCCAGCACCACAGCGGCGGCGTCAGCAGCAGCAGCGGCGGCGGCGGCGGCGGCGGCGAGTCGTACAGTCGCAGCAGCTCGTTCGGATACTCGCGCGCGCTGCAGCAGAAGTACGGCATCATCCCAGACACCTTCCGCTCCATCGCGCAGGTGCGCGGACGTCGGTTGGACAGACAGGTGATATTTGGGGCAGGTTGTATCTGGACTTCTTCCTTTGAGGCCCCGCAGAGGCTCAAGAGCAGGTCGTTTGGTTATCCGCGCGCGCTGCAGCAGAAGTACGGCATCATCCCCGACACCTTCCGCTCCATCGCGCAGGTGCGCGGGCGTCGATTGGACAGACAGACAGACAGGTGATATGCGGGGCAGGTTGTATCTGGAATCCTTCCTTTGGGGCGCGTCAAAAACGACGTGTTGCTGCAGCAGCAGTACGGCATCATCCCCCAGCACCTTCCGCTGCATCGCGCAGGTGCGTTGGCCACGTGGCGTGTGTGTGTGGTGGACAGGTTGCATGATCTTTGTCCCATGCGTGGCAGTTTTTGCTCGTCATCCACACGTGACACGTTGGCATGTCCCTGCCACGTCACCTCCTCGCTTTTCCTCTCTCCCTTCCCCACCATCCTTCTCGCAGTTTCAGTGTGCTCTGTCTACGTGAAAGAAGGAGTGTTTTGAGACGTCTCAAAACACTCCTTCTTTCACGTGGTTTCAGTGTGCTCTGTCTGTCACTCCCCGCCGTCTCTAACCCTCTCGCCCTCGACTCGACCCCTCGGTGTGTGCCATGTGACACTCTCTCCCTTCCATCCGTCCTCTGACTTTTGAGACGTCTCAAAAGATGACACTCTCTCCCTTCCATCTGACTTTTGCTTGTCCATGTGCCCTGCCCCGCGTGCCACCTGCAGGGGCAGGAGAAGCTGCGGGAGGTGGGGCTGGAGTCGCAGTGTGCTCTATCTCTCCCTCCTCCACGCCGCGTTTCTCCCCCTCTCGCCCTCCGCCCGTCTGTGCATCTCCCCCGTGCGCAGGTGCAGGAGAAGCTACGGGAGGTGGGGTTGGAGTTCAGCTGCGAGTTGCCTCTCAACTGTTGCGTGTGTCCCTCCCTTTCCCTCCCTACCTGCCCTCCATCTGTCCCCCGCTTGTCTATCCGTCCCTCGTGCGGCCGACTGCAGGTGCAGGAGAAGCTGCGGGAGGTGGGCTTGGAGTCGAGCAACCTCATAGTGGCCGTTGACTTCACCAAGAGCAACGAGTGGACGGGTGAGGGCTGCTGAGTGGACTGGTGCATGCTGAGTGACTGATGCATGTTGACTGGGCTGGTATGTGCCTGCTTGCTTCTGGAGTCGAGCAACCTGCAACGAGTGGACCGGTGAGTCATGGGTTCTCCTGTAAGTCAACTGCCCACTTTGACCCGTGCGCGCTGACTGGACGGGTGCGCGCTGAGTGGACGGGTGCGCGCTGACTGGACGGGTGCGCGCTGAGTGGACAGGTGAGCGCTGAGTGGACGGGTGCGCGCCTGTTTCAGTCGAATCGCCTTTAACTGGCTTTGCACGTCTTGTGTAGTGTTGGTTGCGAGAGGATTATAAAGTAAGTCACGTAGCGAGTGGTCATAGCACGCACGCCGCTCCCCACCACGAGGAGGAGTAACTAGTCTTTCCTCCCCACTCCATCTCCCTTGCCCACACTCAGCCTCTTTCTCCCTCCCTCATTCCACCTCTTCCCACCTCCCTCCACCCATCTCCCTGCTCCCACCTCCCACCTCGTCTCGTCCCGCTGCCTCCCCAGGCAAGCAGAGCTTCAATGGGCGCTCACTGCACGCAATAGCACCAGGTGCATCAAACCCGTACGAGCAGGCCATTGACATCATTGGCCAGACGCTCTCCGCCTTCGATGAGGACAACCTCATCCCCTGCTACGGCTTCGGGGATGGTATGTTCTGCCCTTTGTCTCTCCCTTCTCCACCTTCTCACCTTCTCTCCCTTCTCCACCTTCTCACCTTCTCTCCCTTCTCCACCTTCTCACCTTCTCTCCCTTCTCCACCTCCGCTCTCTGCCTTCCATGAGGACAACCTCATCCCCTGCTACGGCTTCAGCGATGGTACGCTGCCCCCTCGGTTTCTCTGTCCCTCTCCCTGTCTCGCTCCCTGTCTCGCTCCCTGTCTCGCTCCCTGTCTCGCTCCCTGTCTCGCTCCCTGTCTCGCTCCCTGTCTCGCTCCCTGTCTCGCTCCCTGTCTCGCTCTCTGTCCCTCTCTCTGTCCCTCTCTCTGTCCCTCTCTCTGTCTCGCTCTCTGTTCACCTCTGCTCCCTCACCTCTCCGCCTGCGATGAGCACAACCTCATTCCCTGCTACGGCTTCGGCGATGGTACGTCTCTTCTCTCTCCTTCTCCCTCCCACTCGCTTTTCGCGTCTCGGCCTGTGAGGCCTCCGCAAGAGGCTACCTCTGCTACAATCGATGGTACGTCTCTTCTCTCTCCTTCTCCCTCCCACTCGCTTTTCCTCTCCCTTTCTCTCTCCCTCTACTGACGGCCTTCCATGAGGACAACCTCAGCCCTTGCTGCAGCATCGCTGATGCTATGCTCTGTGACTCTGCCCATTCCCTCCACACACCCCCCCCCCCCTTGTTGAACCTCCTTGAAAGCCTGAACCCCCCACGCAGCCGCCTCTCATGCAGGGGTAGGTACCGTACCCACGTGGCCCCTTCTCTTACACGGCGAGCGAGCAGGGATGCCATTGCCACGGACGGCTGCATGAGAGGGGGCCGCATGGGGCAGTGCCACTGTCTGTCACCACTCGCGCTGGCTCCTCCCTGCCTCCCCTCGCAACCACTGCACCTGCAACGGGTCGAACTACGCGCGGGGACGCAGGCCGGTGTTCTAGTGCTCTCCTTGCCCTACCTACGCCTGCCCTATTACCCCCCAACACCTGCCCCCTTCCCCGTCCCCAACACTCGCCCCCTTCCGCTTCTTCCCAACACCCCGCAGTCTCAACGCACGACAAGGCAGTGTTTGCGTTCAACGAGGGGCAGCGGCGCCCTCTGTGCTTACCCTGCCTGACCTACATCTCCACATGCTACCTACGCCCCCCACAACTCCTCCCTCCCCCACGGCAGTCTCAACACATGACAAGGGAGTGTTGGCGTTCAACTAGGGGCAGCGCCCTCAGTGCTTACCCTGCGCTACCTACCCCTCCACTCCACACCACATGCTACCCAACGCCCCCCCACACCCCGCAGTCTCAACGCATGACAAGGCAGTGTTTGCGTTCAACGAGGGGCAGCGGCCGTGCAACGGCTTTGAGGAGGCGCTGCAGCGGTACCGTGCCATCGCCCCCCTCGTGCAGCTCTCAGGTGCCATCGCCCCCCTCGTGCAGCTCTCAGGTGCCATCGCCCCCCTCGTGCAGCTCTCAGGTGCCATCGCCCCCCTCGTGCAGCTCTCAGGTGCCATCGCCCCCCTCGTGCAGCTCTCAGGTGCCATCGCCCCCCTCGTGCAGCTCTCAGGTGCCATCGCCCCCCTCGTGCAGCTCTCAGGTGCCATCGCCCCCCTCGTGCAGCTCTCAGGTGCCATCGCCCCCCTCGTGCAGCTCTCAGGTGCCATCGCCCCCCTCGTGCAGCTCTCAGGTATGCCTGCTTGCTTGCCTGCTTAAGCTGGGTTGGGCTGGGTTGGGTTGGGTTGGGTTGGGTTGGGTTGGGTTGGGTTGGGTTGGGTTGGGTCAGCTACCGCAAGTGCAGTGCTAAAGTATCGGTGCCTGAATTGGAGCTCATGTTTCCCGGCCACATGACTTCCCATGATTAGGAAGGAGGGTTGTGACAGGCTGTGCCGTGCTGTGTTGTGCCGTGCCGTGCCATGCCATGCTGTGCCGTGCCGTGCCGTGCCGTGCCGTGCCGTGCCGTGCCGTGCCCGGCCAACATAGGTGCTGCGTTCTCCGTGCCACGTCTGACTGCCTCAGCCCTCAGGATTCCTCTCCCGCCCCACTTTCCCTTTCAACCCTTTCTCTCCCCCTCTCCCCATCCTCTCCCCATCCTCTCCCCATCCTCTCCCCATCCTCTCCCCATCCTCTCCCCATCCTCTCCCCATCCTCTCCCCATCCTCTCCCCATCCTCTCCCCCATCCTTACCCCGTGTGCGTCCGCGCAGGTCCCACGTCGTTCGCCCCGGCGATAGAGGCGGCGGTGACGGCGGTGGAGGAGAGCGGCGGCCAGTACCCCGGCCAACCCTGTATCTCACTGGATCGCCTGCCACACTCCCCCCACCCTCCCCCCACCCTCCCCCCACCCTCCCCCCACCCTCCCCCCACACTCCCCCACACCGGGCCCCACTCCCCCCGTCACCCTCCGCTTACCTCCTCTACTGCACCCCATCCCCTGTCCTCTCCCCTTTCCATTCCTCTGTTTGCGTCCGCGCAGGTCCCACGTCGTTTGCGCCGGCGATAGAGGCGGCGGTGAGGGCGGTGGAGGAGAGTGGCGGCCAGTACCACGTGCTGCTCATCATTGCTGATGGCCAGGTGCAGTGCGGTGCTTCAGGGTGCATTGCGGTGCTGTGGGATGCTGCGCGGTAATATGTATGTATGGCAGAGTGTGATGTGAGTGCCGATGTGTGGTCTTTGGTCCCTTTTTGTTCTGGTTGCCAATGGGTGGTGATGGGTGGTCATGAGTGGCGCTGGGTGGTACTGGGAGGTGATGGGTGGTGGTGAGTGGTGACGTATGGTGATGTGTACCTATGGCAGGTGAGTTATCATTCCCCAATGGTGATGGACAGGCTATGCGCACCTTAATTCGCCCTAGACCTTGGATTGGCGTTGGTTAAGGGGACAGAAATTCCTCCTGGGTTCACCCAAAAAGGGTGACTCTTGAGTGGACTCGAGTGTCCCAACAGCAGTGCTGCATGTGGCTGGGCTGCCTTCTATTCACGAGGTGACCTTTGAGTCGACTCGAAAGTCACTTCACCCAATAGAGGTGACTCTTGTGTGGACTCGAGCGTCCCAACAGCAGAGTTGCATGTGATTGGGCTGATTTCTCTTTCTTCACCCGCTTCTCTCACTTGCCTCCCCCACCACAGGTCACTCGCAGCGTTGACACGCCACCAGGAGTGTTCAGCAGGCAGGAGCAGGCCACTGTTGACGCCATTGTTGCTGCCAGGTGGGTCTCTGTTGCTGCCAGGTGGGTCTCTGTTGCTGCCAGGTGGGTCTCTGTTGCTGCCAGGTGGGTCTCTGTTGCTGCCAGGTGGGTCTCTGTTGCTGCCAGGTGGGTCTCTGTTGCTGTCAGGTGGGTCTCTGTTGCTGCCAGGTAGGTCTCTGTTGCTGCCAGGTGGGTCTCAGTTGCTGTCAGGTGGAGTTCTTCTGCTGCCATGTGTGTGTTGTCTTGGTTGCTGCCAGCCTATGCAGCTGTCCAATCTTTGCAGCAGAACAGAGAGACAACACTTTAACTGTTGCCTCTGCAGCAGGGCATCTGTGTCCTACTGCTTACCTTCCGTGCGCCATACCTCGTGCATCTCTGCCCCGTCACTTGTACATCCCCCTTGCATGCACGCGTTCCCCCCTGGAAGCACTACCTCGGGTCGGGCAGGCAGCAGCAATGCACGTGGGCAGTATTGATGTGGAGCACTCATGTGGAGTGGAGCGCTTATTTGGTTTCAAGGAATCTGCCGGCTTATCTGACTGCCGTGCCCTCCTCCAATCAGTGCTCGCCGCCACGGGCTGTGCGGCATGCTCATGCTTCGGCCCTTCTACATCCTTCTGTCCCTCCTCCCCCCCCCTCTCGCAGCAACTACGGGCTGTCAATAGTGATGGTGGGGGTGGGCGACGGCCCGTGGGACGTACTAATGTTGCTCCCTCCCCCTTGCCCCCTCCTTCCGTCCCTCCTACCCTCCTCCCACAGCAACTACGCGCTGTCAATAGTGATGGTGGGGGTGGGGGACGGCCCGTGGGACACGATGGAGGAGTTTGACGATGCTCTGCCGCAGCGCAACTTCGATAACTTCCAGGTGGGTGGGATGGGCATGGCATGGTGTCAGTGTGCTGCCTGTGTGCTGTCTGTGTGCTGTTTTGGGTAATGTGCGTTGGTGCGACCACCGTGGGACACGATGCAGGAGTTTGACGATGCTCTGCCGCAGCGCAACTTGGATAACTTCCAGGTGGGGATGGGTGGGCATGGCATGGTGTGAGCGTGCTGTCAGTGTGCTGTCAGTGTGCTGTCAGTGTGCTGTCAGTGTGCTGTCAGTGTGCTGTCAGTGTGCTGCCATTCCACCCTCCCCCACCTGTTTCCTCCTACTATTCCAACTGAGCGTCCTACTATTCCAACTGAGCGTCCTACTATTCCAATTGACCATCCTTCTCTCCCACATCTCAGTTTGTCAACTTTACTCGGGTAATGGCGGCATCATGAGTCGTTGAGTCGACTCAAATCTTCTTTCCCCCTTGTCTCTCTCTCACACATGTTTTTCTCTCCTTACAACCTCAGTTTGTCAACTTCATGAGGGTTATGGCATCATCACGCGTACCGGATCAGCGCACATCACTCTCTCAACACTCATGGCCATGCCTCTCCCCCCCTCTCCCCCCCTCTCCGCCCCTTTCCCTCCCCCCACATCAGTTTGTCAACTTCACGAGGGTCATGGCATCATCGCGTGCACCAGAGCAGCGGGCGGCACTCTTTGCCCTCTCTGCGCTCATGGAGGTGCCTCATCAGTACCGCGCCTGCACCGAGCTGGGGCTGCTGGGGTGAGTTGTGCTGATTGGGGCTGCTGGGGTGAATTTGTTAGCGATTTATACAGCATGAAGGGCTGCTAGTGATGCTGTCAGGTCATGGTATCACCAGTCTCTTTGCCCTCTCTGCGCTCATGGAGGTGCCTCATCAGTACCGTGCCCACACCGAGCTGGGGCTGCTGGGGTGAGTTCATTGGTGCTGAATGCTGCTTGTGCACTTGGGGTGCGTTGAGTGGGCTGGTGCTGCGGCAGGCTGGGAGCCCAAGAAGTTGCCTCGCTCTTTGTCCTCTCAACGCTCATGGAGGTCCCTCTGCAGTACCGGGTTGATCAGTGCTGCATGCTCTGTCCTGCCTGGATTCTTACTCAGGTAGGTGATTGTGAGTCCGCATAACGACATGCTTTGTAAAGTAGGGTTCTCTGGGTATAGGGTTGAGGGAAGAAGTGGCGAGTCTGTTGATGTGTTGCTATTGCTGTGCTTGGAGCATTGCTAGCTCCACGAGTAAGCGAGTGAAGGGTGGAACTAAGGCGATGTTAGATTTAGGCAGGTGAAATTGGCAGGCGGACAAAAGAATGTGGTTCCAACGAGGTTTGAACTCGTGACCTTTTGCGTGTAAAGCAAACGTGATGACCACTACACCATGGAACCATGCAAGCTCTTAATATTTTCCTTTGATATCACTGTTTCTCGCCTCTCCCACTCTCTCTCCCCCACTTCTCCTCTCTTCCCCCCCTCTCCTCTCTCCCCCCTCCTCCTCTCCCGCCCCCCTTCTCCTCTCCCCCCCCTTCTCTTCCCTTCACCTCCGCACTCCCTCCCCTCCAGTCGCCCCATGGGTCGCATGCCACCATCAGCCCCCAAGGAGCCCCCTCCACGCGTGCGAGCAGCAGATGCTGCAGCCGCCCAAGCTGCATCCCTCGCTGCTGCCAACATGCCCCCGCACCTCAACCCTAATAATCTCAACCCATCTGACTTCAACCCCGGCACCACTCCTAACCCCTTCGGAAACTTCATGGACGCCCCTGCTGCTTATGGCTATGGGGCTGGCAGCTCTGCCACACCCACAGGCGCTGCTGCTGCTGCTGACTCTGCGTCGGGCTCTGGTGGTGCGTCAGCAGCGGGAGGGGGGACGGAGTGCCCGGTGTGCCTCATGTACCCCAAGAACACTGCCTTCCAGTGCGGCCACCAGGTGAGGCCTGCACCAGGTGAGACCTGTACCAGGCTAGGCCTGCCCCAGGTGAGGCATGTACCAGGCTAGGCCTGCCCCAGGTGAGGCATGTACCAGGCTAGGCCTGCCCCAGGTGAGGCATGTACCAGGCTAGGCCTGCCCCAGGTGAGGCATGTACCAGGCTAGGCCTGCCCCAGGTGAGGCATGTACCAGGCTAGGCCTGCCCCAGGTGAGGCATGTACCAGGCTAGGCCTGCCCCAGGTGAGGCATGTACCAGGCTAGGCCTGCCCCAGGTGAGGCATGTACCAGGCTAGGCCTGCCCCAGGTGAGGCATGTACCAGGCTAGGCCTGCCCCAGGTGAGGCATGTACCAGGCTAGGCCTGCCCCAGGTGAGGCATGTACCAGGCTAGGCCTGCCCCAGGTGAGGCATGTACCAGGCTAGGCCTGCCCCAGGCGAGGGCCACACGCTCTTGAGTTGATGGGGCCGTGCAGTGTGCCTCATGTACCCCAAGAACTCTGCCTTCCAATGCGGCCACCAGCTGAGGAGTGCGCAGCAGGTGAGGAATGCGCAGCAGGTGAGGAGTGTGCAGCAGGTGAGGAGTGTGCAGCAGGTGAGGAGTGTGCAGCAGGTGACACCTACATCAGGTGAGGGCCACACATTATTGAGCTCATAGGTTCGTGCAGTGTGCCTCATGTACCCCAAGTACTCTGCCTTCCAGTGCGGCCACTAGGTGAGGACCACACACTCTTCACTGCACCAGGTAAGGCCTTCCCCAATTGAGGCTTGTGCACGCTGCTCACGACTTACAAAGCCACGTGCGTTTAGCTTGCCTCACTTGAAGCATGCTGCATACACTCCTGTCTGGTCACTCAGTGAGAATCATACACTGTACTGAAAACCATTGCCTTACACTCAAAGGGTGCAGCCATGTGTATTGCATGTTACTCCTGCCTGCACCCGCATCAGGTTTTTGCAGAGATTTGATGTGCTGCTGTGTGATGCCTTTCATGTGCAGCGTTTAAGCTCTATTTGTTACTGTACCATTCCTCCCATTGCAATGTGCACTTTCTCCTTGACAGACCTGCGAGGAGTGTGGCAAGCAGATGAACAATTGCCCCATATGCCGTGCACCCATCACCATGCGCATCAAGCTGTACAGTTAAATAAGTGCATGCATTGTAAATGTGCACACCCAGTATTGTCTAGTATGCTTGATGAGTCATAAAACGTCATCTCCTTGTAGTGGGTACACAAGGGAGCAGATGTGTTATGTTATAAGTCAGCATTTCTACAATAAAGAATACGGTACCGCAGCATGTCAGAAGCATCATATTTTGTGCTTACAGAAATCACGTTTGCAGTGCCATGAGATTCAAGATGTAAGCAATTTCTCTCTAGTCACAGTCCTGCCTGTGCTGGACTGAATTCTGCTAGTGTCAACCTGAACAGTTGGGTGAGTAGTAAGCAAGCAATTTCCCTGTAGCCACAGTCAAGGCATATTATCTGCACTGATCTCGTATGGTATGGATCCAATAAATGTACACAGGATGTACCGGTACATGTTATGCAGCCCTACATGATAGCGAGCCCTAGTCAGATGTGATTCATGTGAAAGCCTGCCACAAGCACGATGCTGCTTAGATATCCTCTGGTAACCAGGGGGGGGGGGCTCAGGTGGAAACAGGACGCTCAGGTTGAGGGAGAAGCTTATTTCTCGTGCAGCTAAATAAGAGTACATATCGATCGCCGTGTTGAGAATCCTAGCAGCCGTGTCACTTGGTGTACAGCACATCCTCCCACGGGTGGCGGTACAGCGGCTGCTTGAGGCGCTTCTGGTCAAACGTGTGCCTGGCGGGATGGAAGATGCACGTGGGGTGGCAGATGGAAGGGCACAGCACAGGGCATGGAGCAGACAAGGATGGTTGAGTGGAGAGCCAAGGGGACACAGAGATGAGCATGCAATGCAGTGGCACAAGTAGCGCTTGTGGGCTATGATGAACAACACTGGGCGTTCCAATGAGCGTGCTCATGTGAGGTGCATGGCAGGCTGCAGGTCAAGGGGAAAACAATGACTCGAGTGGCAGGTTAGAGGAGAGCTATGGTAGCTCTGCAGCGTGGCAGAAATATCATCTCACCCGATGAGCCCAATGCTCCTGGAGAGCACGAAGAGCCCGTTGAGGTAGGTACCCCACAGCCACTAAGTTGTCAATCTCCTCCTTGGTGAACATGGCGCAGGACGTGAGCAGGTCCAGGAACGCCTCGATTGCCATGCCAGTCAGCCGCCCCAACAACCCACACCGTGCCTCACTCACCCGATGAGCCCGATGCTCCTGGAGAGCACGAACAGTCCATTCAGGTACCCCACAGCAACGATGTCGTCAATCTCCTCCTTGGTGAACATGGAGCAGGATGTGAGCATGTCCAGGAAGACCTCCAGACCGATCCCCTCAGAAGCTCACCGGCTTGGATATAATCTTCTTACCCGATGAGCCCGATGCTCCTGGAGAGCACGAAGAGCCCGTTCAAATACCCCACGGCCACGATGTCGTCAATCTCCTCCTTGGTGAACATGGCACAGGACGTGAGGAGGTCCAGGAAGAGCGCGCCGATGCAGCCATCCACGTTGAGCACCAGGTTGGCCGCCTTGGTGAGCGTGTATGTCTCCACCGCCACGGCGTAGTCCATGTGCTTCACCGAAGGGAAGGAGGAACGCGCGTAGGCTTGGAGCAGCTCGACACGTTTGTCCCGGTTGTCACGACTCTTGATGCTGGTAGGGATGGTGGGAGTGGGGGGAAGAATGGGGTGTGGGGAGGAGAATGGGGGGAGGAAGAACCGAGGGGAACGAGTGACGGACGGAGAAGATGCAGCCATCCACGTTGAGCACCAGGTTGGCCGCCTTGGTCAGCGTGTACGTTTCCACCGCCACTGCATAGTCCCTGTGCTTCACCGACGGGAAGGAGGCGCGCGCGTAGGCCTGCAGGAGCTCCACTCGCTTGTCGCCGTTGTCACGGCTCTTGATGCTGGTGGGGAGTGGAGGGAGTGAGAGTTTGGGGGTGTGTGCGGGGGAGGGGCGAGGCAGAGAGTGATGGAGAGGGGAAGGAGGTTAGGGAGTTGGAGGTTCTTCTTAGTTGAGTGAAAAGAGTGACGTTGGTGAGCGTGTAGTTCTCCACGGCCACGGCCTAGTCCATGTGCTTGACAGAGGGGAAGGAGGAATGCGCGTAGGCTTGGAGCAGCTCGACTCGCTTGTCGCAGTTGTCACGACTCTTGATGCTGGTGGGGATGGGGAGTGGAAGAGTTGCCAAGGCGAAGCGTGTGAGGATGGAATGAGAAGGGAAGTGGTGAAGGGGAGTGAAGTGAGTCAGTCAGTGCAGAGGCAGTCGGCGACTGTGAAGGATAGGAGCTTGCACATCAGATCACATGACACTCCACCATGCCTCAGAAGTGGAAAGCATCAACGAGGTGGTACAATTGCACCAGCCATCAACCCAAAACGACACGCCGAGCCTGCCACATCAGCACCCAGACGACCACGTGACATGCCATGCCACTACGCAATGTCATGTACCAAAGGCTGTTGCCATGTTACGTACCGATGGCCAATGCCAGGCACGCGGATGCCCTTCCTCTTCATTCCCTCCACGAAGTCATACGGACTCAGCCCCTGAACACAAATGCCATGGCATTGCGGGTCGTGCAGGGTTATGCACGCATGGTAGAGAAAATGGTCGAGAACACGCCATGTTATACACAGCAGGAAGAGAGGGAGCATGGCCCATGCAGCGACGCAGGTGAACAATGAGTCCAAACAAAAGGCAATGCTGGGGTGGGCAGGCAGGGAGATGAGGACGCCTTCTTTGCATGAGAGTGACGGGAGAGGACAATGAGCTGCCACGCAGGCAGCCACTCACCCGCTCCACAGCGTCCTTGAAGTAACGCGCAGCATCATCAATGGCGCCTCCAAAGCGCGGGCCGATGGTGAGCAGCCCTGCGAGGAGCAGGAGGTGAGGACCAATGGCGGAGAAAACAAGATCACATGATGAAGTAGGGAGGGGATTCACACGCAAGAACAGGCTGCAGGGCCAGCAGTGAGGTCATGAGGAGTGACAAGCATGGAAGAGGATCAGACGGCCGCAGCACTGTTGCAACACCAAGTGGTGGTACGGTTGGCAAAAAGGGAACGGAGGAGGACGCACCAGAGACGAGGCAGGAGATGAGGTCCTTGCCGGCTCGCGAGGTTACGATGGAGTTGTGCGCGCCCGACACACATGGACCGTGATCCGCACACAGCACCACACACATCTGCAATGGGGGGAGGGATGGCAAGGGAGGGGAGGGTAAGGGCAATCATTGTTTGTCACACACAGGGACCGTGGTCCGCACACAGCACAGCACCACACACATCTGCACGCAGTCATGGCGTATGAGAAAGAATGGGATGTTAACAAGGGGCATGGCGATGATTGGTGGGGGGGAGATGGCAGTGATGGCGGGAAGGAAGATGTTATTGATGGGAGATATTCACAGCAAGAAATTTCAAAGGCAGCTGATAGTGTATGTAAAGCAGTGGTCTAATGAGGGTCTGACCGACACTCAACACATGACGGGCAACGATGTATGTATGTACTACTACCATGAGAGTTTGAGAGGGTCTGGCCGCCACAGCACAAGGGAGAGGCCGAGCTGTTATACCCACACAAGTGACAAGACTTGATCACTTCGAAGAGTGATCATGCAGGGGGGGGGGGATGTAGCTGCAACTATTGATTGGGCGAGGGAGAAAAGGAGAGCACCTCAATGAACTTGGTGCAGTAGGCGGGGAGGGAGCGCTTGAACCAGAGCAGGCACATGACGTCGCCCACCCCAAAGCCCTTCTCCACTATGGTCGAGATGGGCACCCCTGCGTATGTGGGCTCCTCGCCTGCATGGTGATGGGGGATGGGAAGGCGGATAGGCACACACAGGCACACAGACAGGAGATCACTGAGACGAGTATGTGATCCAGTTTAGACATGTGTGAAAACCATATAGATATGTTCGCAAGAGCATAGAGAGGTACCGGTATGAGGTTGGAATCGTGCGTTGTGACTGGTGCAGTGACAGGGGCGCAGATGAGCATAGCTTGACACAGAGTTATTTGCAGACGTGACGCGACATTCACATGAGGGCCGCTCGCATCAGCTGCCACTGCTCGCATCAGATGCCACTGCTCACATCAGAATTATTTGCAGAGCATCTCCATACGCCACAGCTCACGCCACCTTGACTCACCATTGTCATAACAGATGTTGTGGTGGAGACGATGTGCATGAGACGACTTTTGAGGCGCCTTAGAAAGAATCCTCACTCACCTCTGTCGTCACAGATGGTGGAGACGATGTGGGTGGGGGCGCGCACTTTGCCCGCCTTGATGGCCGCTGTGAGGTCCTCCGGCACTGTGGGCGGCTGCTTCTCTGCCACTGGCTGGATGGCACCCTCTGCCACCTGGGGCCACCAACAAGGCGTCATGGGGAAGGAGGGGAGGGGGGAGCGAGGGAGATGAGGGGGAGAGCTGGCTGTGATCAAAGGTCCTCCGGCACTGTGGGCGGCTGCTTCTCCGCCACTGGCTGGATGGCGCCCTCTACCACCTGGTGGCACAATGAAATGGGGGTTTGGGTTGAGAAGGAGGGGGGAGTGAGAGAGATGAGGTGAAAAAGGGTTGTGTTGTGATAATAGTCCCTCAGGTAATGTGGGCGGCTGCTTCTCCTCCACTGGCTGGATGGCGCCCTGTGCTACCTGGGAATCAACAGCAACGAGTGATGGAGGAGGGTGAGAGAGTTGAGGGCGAAACGAAACTGGAGAATGAGGAGGTGTGGCAAGGCTTCAGGGCACTGTGGCGGCTGTCTGCCAGTGGGCCCCCTGGAATGTGGGGACTACCAGAACTGACAGCAAGTGATGACCCGTGGGTGGGTTGAGAGTTGGTTCCACATAGTGACATGACATCCATTTGATACATGAGAGAAAACCGAGCTTGTGACGGATAGTTCATCTGGCATTGAGGGCAGCGGTATTTTGTATGATTGTAAGGTTGTGTGTGCAAGACACTCACGAGCTTCTCATACGTGGCGCGGATGACAGTCTCCAGGTCCTCAAACGACGTCGGCACGATGGCGCCCGCTGCCTTCAGTGCCGCGTTCTTTGCCTGTGCTGACTCGCTCTCCCCTCCGCTCTTGGCGCCCTGGGGAAGCAATCGTGGAAAAGGATAAAGGTTTCTGGCTGTAAACATCGTGACGCGCGTTTCTTAGCACAGTGCCCCCCACTGACGTGGGCGCCGCAACTCATAGCTCTCACCTCCAACCAAGGGAGAACCGGGGAAGGATGTCAGCATGCAGGAGGGAGAACAAAGTTTGAGGAAACAAACGTGATGAGGTGCTGTAACCAACGCGAAGCGAGGCGTCAGCCAATCGAGCCAGGATGGAAAACCAGCTGCCAAAGCTCAGTGGCTTACAGCGTGGCCGAACTGCACTTCGGACTTGAAGAGAGTGGCGCAGGTGCCACTGACCCACGCCACCACGGGCTTGTTCACGCGCCCCTCCTTCAGCGCCTCCACCAGTGAGTACTCGTCCGCACCGCCCAGCTCGCCCAACACCACTATCATTCGGATCTGACCATGCACAGAAAGGAGTGGGAAGAGGAGAGGGGGTTTAGGGGATGGAGGAGGGGGAGAGGGTGAGACACAGAGGAGGGGGATGGTGTGTGGAGTCAGGCGTTGCATGGATATGCGAGGAGAGAAGGAAAGATGGAGACGTTTGGATTGGAGCGGCGAAGGCGACAAACAAGAGCACACATGCCAAAAGAGTTGGCAGCGAACGAGCATGTAGAAGCAATCACGCAACCCCATGGCTCTTCTGGCTGGCCCAAACGAACTTGAGGAGAATGGTGAAACACACGCAAACACGTGAACCTCGTGCGGACCACAACTCTCATACCTGCGGAATGTTGTTAAATCTCAAGACGTGGTCTGAGAGCGTGGAGCCAGGGAAGCCATCACCGCCAATGGCGATACCTGCATGGGCGAGGAAGAGAGAGAGCAGTGCAGCAAGTGGGCATCACCATTGGTCTTGACACGTCTGAACACTCTGCTGGGCAGTCACCACTATTCATGAACAACCGGGACAAGAGGGAAACGCTAGCTGCTGAACGAACATTGCCAGTGATTGCCTTGAGAAAGGACTGGAAAGTGGTTGACATAGCCTGGGTCAAGACTGACAGGCAATCTTGAATGACTACTAGATTATCCACCCCTTCCTTCCTCACCTTCGTAGAGCCCATCTGTAGTGCGCGCCAGCACGTTGTACATCTCGTTCGACATGCCTCCCTGCAACCACACCACAGCACGGCACCCCGGGTTACAACACAGGCCCGGAGGAAGGGGCAGAAATGAGAAAAGAAACGCAACAAGGCAGAATGAGGAGAGTGACAGGCAGATCCACGGAACCAGAGGGGCCTCACATGCACTGCAATGCAGCTGCAAGGTCAGTGCCTCACCGACTTGGAGACGAAGCCGACGGAGCCAGGGCGGTAGAGCTTGCAGCTGATGATGTTGTCCAGCGTGCCCGCTGTGTCGCCAATCTTGAACGCTCCTGCCTGGATGCCACCCACCGTTGCCGGGCCAATAATCACCTGTTGCCCAAGCGTCACAACACAGCGCATGTCCGTCAGCCGCGCTACAGTAGTTACATGAGAAGAGGAAGTCAGAAGCAATGGGGCTTGAAGATCGGCTGGTGAAACGGGTGTGAGATGCGGCATGCTGGGAGGTGGAAGGATGGCCAGGTGGTGTTGCTGCCAGCGCGGGTACCTTGTTGTTGGCGCGCGCGTAGGCGATGAGCGTCTTGGTGTCGGCCTCCGGCACGCCCTCTGCGATGATGGCCACCACTCGGATGGTGGGCTGCTTCAACGCCTCGAACGATGACTCGAACGCACTGTCGCGAGGGGTGGGTTGGGTCAAGCGCACGGGAGGTAGAGTCAAAGAATGGTTCCAGTACCCAGTTACGCATAATTATGCGCGGCAGTGCGTTGTTGAGCAGTGAGTTGTGTGTAAAGTGCGCGGTGCTTAGCGGTAAGACGATCATCCATTCAACAAAGCCACACCTTCGGAACGAGGCGAAGTTGACGAAGACGTCAGCCGTTGGATGCGCCTTGCAGGCCGCCGTGATGCTGTTTCGAGAACAAATACAAGGACGGAACAAGGTATGAGGATGCTTGCATAACCGTCGTGTTTTGAGTCGGATTTGAGGTAGTTCGGCATGGCGTGCATACAGACGAACGATGCTGATAGCGAGGCAGGTGCGGACTAAAAATTCTATTCGCAAAAAGGTACTTACCTGGGGTGGACCGGAAGCGCGATCTCCTCTTGACCGAAAAAGAGCTTGTGAAAGCCATCAGATCCCGGTGTGATGATGCCGGCAACAGAGGGTAGATTTCGACCTGGGAAAGAGCGGAAGAGATACCGAACGGTCGCATGAGCTTTGGAAAGGATATGGACCCATAAATCTAGTAGTCTGGCCAGCAGACTCTTGAGTTTGAGCTGTCCTCCCTAGCTAGAGCACGGGCCGAGAAGGCGTTACGGAGCGTGAAACGCAATCTAAAAAAGGCCAACGAAGCTCAAAGCACGAAATCCAGCTCTGACGCTACGTGTTCGTCGCACCGCATAAGAAGTCAAAATCCAGCATCCGTTGAACGGGATTCTGCTTGTAGTTGTAAAACAGAGCTTGGGTGTTCTTCGAAAACAGTTGACCCGTCGCCATTTTGGCTCCACGCTACTATGCAAGACCAGAGGAGATTGATTAAACTTCGCTTTCTGGTCACTCTATTCGGAAGCGAAATGCGATCGATGTGCCTGACGTTGAGAGGGCAAGGCCTGCCTGATTGATGTGGACTTGCTCATAAAATCTCAAATTGACGGAACGGAGATCCCAAGGCAAGCAACACGGAGCACAGCCTCGAAATTGGTTTGGTGGGTGTGCGCCTGCCTGCCTGTAACCGCGGCAGGCGCGAGCCTTGGAGATGCAAGGCAAGTGATGTCTGCTGTGGTGCGCGTGGGCCTCTGATCTGAGTCAGCCGTGCCTGAGAGGGTGGGACCACACGGGGAAATGTCCACTGGTAAAGCCCCCCCACACTCGGCCACGTGGATCTGGATGCTGACAGCCTCGAGAAAATCGGCAGACTTCGGGTTGGTGGGTCATCGGATTTCTCAATGTAGGCCCAACACACCAATAGATCTGTGTACATGAAAAAAAACTGCTAACCTGTATGAGCCAATCACCACTTTAGTTGCCGGGAAAAATACGAATGCACTGGTGGAAGTTTTCGGGTTTGAGATGGAAGGAAGTACCATAAATTATAACAAGACTCTACATTTACGTCGGAAGGGTTGCGTAGAGTTGTATCCCTTGTATTAGAAACATTATGTAAGAAACATTAAGAGAGTACATACATTATAATTATACTTTGCTTATAGAAGCAATTCATTAAGTTCTTCATTTTTTCTTAAAACAGTCAGGCTCGATAGTTCCATATTATGAAGCAAAATGTTCTATAGATGCTGCTTCCCTCAAAGTTGTTAATTAATTGTGGAGCAACGTGGACATGTATGCTCCTTTTGTGATTTTTATAAACATGAATTGTTTTCACCAACAACTTAAAACCGAAATATAAAATAGTGAAGGCGGATCCAACTTGAAATCGTGCTCGGAAGAAGAAAAACTGGAACGACGATGGGCTCTGTAAAACACTGTTCCGGGCATCGCCCTTCCACAGAGTGAACACACGTGATTTGTTCCCGCCAAAAATAAAAATCAGATCGTGCTCGCGCGTTCGCATTTTCTGCATGCGACATTTGCACAATAGTTGTTTGTCGTGCGTTTTGATGGTTGGACCCGACTTCGACTTTCAAGCTGGGCCTGGGTTCCACATATGCTTACTTCAACTCCATTCACGTAGCTTGCCTAACTCACAGAGCTTGCCTAGCATAGAATAGCCAGAGACGAGGGATTAGGCTGATGCGGCATAGAAATGAAATTATCATTACCGTCATACCCCGGATATACCCCAATGGGGGGCAACAATAAAGCAGGTTTTTTTAGGGGGGTGGGCTTATAATCGAGTAAACTTATAAGCGCCGGCGGTTATAAAATGACATATATGTTTTTATATATTTTTGAACACCATACTGTAGATCTCGTGCTTGTCTTTTCAATCGAGACGAAGTTACATGGGGTCGTCTTGAGAAGAAGTGAACGAGAATGAATCAACTATGAATTAAGTGAACACATAACGCAAACCTGATTGGGTTGTACCCCCTATGGGATACCCCACTATAGCCTACACAAATATATATAAGCTATAATGTTCTGACACACCCCCATAGGCAAAGTAGGGGAGAACAAGGGGTCACAAAACCAGTCAAGCAAAGCAAAGCAAAGCTCAAGGTGGATCACAAAGTCACCACACATTCCGAGCACAAGTTCAAAGGCCAGAAGGCCAGTTCACATGCAAGATCATATATAGAGATATACAAGAGTCAAGTAGGCAAGAGCAAGGGTATATATAGGTGAAGGCACAAGTAAAGTCAAGAAGTGAGCAAGTGTGGCAAGACAGACACAAGACCCAACTGCGTGCAACAACGCTGATGATCACAAGGCGCAAGTGCCTTGGTGAAGACATCAGCAGTGTTGGCCTCAGAGGCCACGTACGCAAGTCGCAACTGTCCACGCTGCTGTAGCTCACGAGCAAGAAAGTAGCGGAGAGCAATGTGCTTCGTCCTGTGCTCCAGTCGCTGCTCTCGACACAAGGCCAGCATGGCCTTGTTGTCTACGTACAGGACTGGAGGAGAACGAGGCTGCTCTCCAAGGTCGGTCAGCAGGTAGGTGAGCCAGCGTAACTCCTGTGCAGCCATAGCCCCAGCGTAGATCTCAGCCTCACAACTGGAGCCGAGAACAGAAGACGAGCGGGTAGCCCGCCACGAGACAGAGCCGGAACCAAGGCTGAAGGTGTAACCCTGTGACGACCGCTGCGTAGCCTGGTCGTCAGCCCAAGAAGCGTCTGCGTGCCCAGTGAGGACCACTGGACTGCGCCCTCCAAGCACTAGCCCCATGCCCGACGTACTGCACAAGTAGCGCAACACCCTCTTCGCTGCAGCCATGTGCTCTGGTCGGTGTCTCCCAGGAGCAACATAGCGTGCGAGAATGCTAAGAGGGTATGCAAGGTCAGGTCGAGTGCAAGTCATCAGGTACATGAGGCAGCCAACAAGCTCTGCAAACGGGCCACTCGACTCTACGGACTCATCCGAAGGCAGAGCTGAGAGCGAGTGGCAAGTAGGCAGAGGAGTGGCCAGAGGCGAGGAGTACGTGAAGCTGAAGCGCTGAAGGACCTGCTGCACCATGTGTGACTGAGTCAGGGTAATGTTGCGGCGTGCTCTGTCCCGGGTGATCTGCAAGCCAAGGTAGCTGCGCAGTTCACCCAGGTCAGTGCACGTGTGTCTCTTCTGCAGCTCGGACTTCACGTAGGCGAGTCCAGCAGTGTCAGCTGTGGCAAAGACCAAGTCGTCGACGTACACGAGGATGTAAAACGGCGGCAGAGAGGTGTCGGTGCGCAAAAACAGCGACGGGTCGGCAGTAGAAGGAGCAAACCCAAGTGCCGCGAGCGTAGTCCTCAGTGTGTCGTGCCACTCACGTGGCGCCTGGCGGAGACCGTAGACTGGACGCCGGAGACTCCACTGGGTACCAGGAGGGAAAGACCCAGTGAAGCCAGGTGGACGACGCAGCCAGATCTCCTCGTGCAGGCTGCCCTGCAAGAAAGCAGTGCTGAAGTCGAGAGAGTGCAGCTCGTAGTCACGGTGAGCAGCAACGTGCAGCAGAACCCGAAGAGTGGTCATCTTCAGGGTGGGGGAGAAGGTCTGAAAGTAGTCAACCCCCTGCCGCTGACTGAAGCCACGAGCCATGTAACGCGCCTTGAAGACAGGCGGAGAACCCGGCGGCCGCTTCACCCTGAAGATCCACATGCCACTGACGATGTTCGCCCCAGGAGGGGGGACAGCGTCGACGTAGGTGCCTGTGGACTTCCAGGAAGCCATCTCTGCATCCATAGCTGCCTGCCACTGAGAGGAGTAGGGACCCTCTATCGCCTCCGCGTAAGAGCGCGGAGTCGGGATGTCTGGTGCATCCGGGTCTCCCTCAGGGGCTAGCAGTACAGACGCGAGATGAGGTGAAGCGGCGGCCAGACACTGGAACTCCTCCTGCCTGTCCTCAAGGACGTCCGTGCCGAGGGCACACTCACCCCCGACGGACGGAGGACAGGCAGACTCAGATTCAGCGACAAGACTAGTAGCGTAGTCTAGACGACAGCGCGCAGCAAAGTCGACAAGCTCAGTGACAAGGGCAGACGCAGCAGACGACTCGAAGGAAGGGTCAGTGACAGCAGTAGCAAGGAGACGCGTGACAGTAGGACTGGCAGCACGAAGAGAGTCCGACTCAGGGTCGGCAAGGGCAGGAAGAGAGGAAGCAGAAGGAGAAGGCAAAGGGGCACGCAGAGGAGCAGTGGACGGACGCCGTGACATCCGGTGCGTGCCAGGGACAGGAGGAGGACGCTGACGCGACCCGCGACCACTAGCGCGCGCAGTACGAACAGGCGACGCAGGACGAGACGCAGGCTCACGACGCTCAGTAAGACCTCCAGTCGGACCAGCGTAGGGAGAAGGAGCAGGCAAAGGGGAGGCAGGCTGTAGCTGTGGCTGTGACTGGACAGGCTGTCGACCCTCTAAGGGAGGAGGAGGAGGTGTAAGACCAAGAACCTGCTGCAGGAGCGGAACGAAGTACGGTCGGGGCCGCGCGGCAACGCCAGACACAGCAGGAACAGCACCAGTACTCCCAGCAGGAGCACCCACTCCAGCAGCACCTCCAGCAGCACCTCCAGTAGCTCCAGAACCTCCAGCAGCAGCACCAGGAGCACTGTCAGTCGGACCGCCAGCGGCAGTCTCAGCGCCAACACCCTCAGCAGCACCAGCTCCAGGAGAACCCTCAGACCCAGCAGCTCCAGCACCCACAGTACGAGCACCGCCGGGACGCGCGGCGGCAGTA